TACAGTCCCGCAGAGAGTGACAGAAATTATTTGAAGCCTGGGAAATGTGATTCAATAATTTAGGATGATTTAGTTTGGAGAAGAGAGGGCTGAGGGAGATTGGACAATAGTCTTCAAATAATTGAAGGGTGGTTTTGTGGAGCATGGAGATAAACTGTTGTCTCTGGCTGCGGGGGTCAGGCTAAAGAGCAGCGGCCTTAAATTGCAGCAAGGGAAGTCTAGGTTGGAGATTAGGAGGAATTTTCTTACTCTGAAGGTGGTTCAGCGCTGGAACAGGCAACCCAGAGAGACTGGGATCTCCATCCTTGGGAGTTTCTAAGAGCAGGTTGGCCAGACGCACTTGCCTGCAGTGATTTAGTCGGGGATGATCCTGTCTTGAGCAGGGGGCTGGACTAGATGGGACCTCCTGAGATCCCTCCCAGCCTGACTTTGCTATGATCCCATGAACATCTTATGGCTCAGCTCTGTTTGACTCCCAGGGGAGCTGTGAGAACAAGCCAATGCAGACCATGCTTTGTGGCACCCAGCACCTTAAAGGGCTCCTTGGGGTCGGTGCCACTGAGTCTCTGGGAGATTAAACACAGTTCTCGTGCAAAGGCTTTTGCAGTGCTGTGGGTACCTGGAGCCCAGAGGCAGTGCAGGGCCTGGCGGGCAGTGCCTCTCCTGCCACTGGTTAGTGCTGTGGGAACCTTTCTCCCATCCCCACAAAGAGGATATAAGCCCCACGTGGATCTGTGCGTCTTCAACGCTGTGGTGTCTTAGATGTTTACTGGGCCTCTGTTGCTGCAGCCTCTGAGCCCTTCACGGTCTTTAAACCCCACACCTCCCCATCTTCTCACATGGCTGCCCATGGGTGGGGAAATGCCGCAATCCCCATCATACTGCTGGGGAGCGCCGAGGCGCTAGCACCATGTCTGCACAGTGAACTCACCCCTGGCTGCAGCGCCCTCCAGTGTGCCATGCTGCTCTGGTTGGCAGCCTCTGGCGCTGGGAGCCGCGTAGCTGTGTCTGTGCAGCACCAGGCAGGCTGATGACTGAGCATAGGCCAAGCTAACTGGCAGTGCTAATTAGCCTGTCCGCAGCATCCGTGCTGCTGCTGGGCACCATGTAGACGTGGCCTAAGTGACTTGCCTGAGGCTGCAAGCACGGTCTGTGACAGATGCAGCTCCCCCGCCTCCTGGGCTGAGATCAGGCCCTGGGTCAGCCCTTCTCTTGTTCACCAACCCCCTGCAACGTAGCAATGACTTTCCAGGTGTTGGCTTCGCCTTTTGTGCCTTCTGGATGCCTGGCTCCTCGGGGCAGGTGTGCCCGTGCCTTTGGTTTGTAGTAGCTGTCCCACAACAGGGCCCTCCCTTTCACTGCAGTGTGCCAGTGCCTCAGTTTCCCCACTGCCATGAGATCACAATCCCCTTTCCTTTCTAAAGCACTTTGAGACCTGCGGGGGACTCTCCAGGTGCAGGTACAGCCCTCCCCACCCCTGTCCCCATAGTGTTTGCGTGCCGCAAAGGTGCTGGGTCTCTTTCTTGCCTCTCTCTGGGCCTCAGAAGAGCAGTGCTTCAGGCTGCAGCTAATCTGTTCAGGGGCCTTCAAATGCAACAAAGGCTTATCTGCACCGCCGGCTGAAAATGGGCCGTGTGTGGTGCGGATGTCTCGGCCGTGGGGCCCTGAAGACGGCCAGCTGGTGGAATCTTCCTCTCTCTTTGGTCTGGGTATGTAAAAGGCTCCCTTTGTTCTCTCCCAGCCCACACACTGACACCGCATTCCTCCTCCTGCTCTTCCCAGATATCGCAGGGTTGATTCTGGGGAGGAACTTGAAGGATAGAGCAGAAGTGGTAACGGCTTTGTAGGCCGTGGGGGCTTTGCTCTGTCCTTCCCACCCCACCCACCACCTCCTTAAACCCTCCTGCCAGGCCTGGCTTGGGGAGGGAAGGAGTGAGGCAAAGCCAGTTGACCTAATCAATAGGCTGCAGCCAGCCAGCTGTGGGGCTTGCCGGCAGGAAGCTGCCTTTTGGGCCTCTCCTTCTGTCTGCTGCATGCACAGCTGGCCAGAGGGCCACAGGGCAGAGGGGAAGAACAGCTGGCCGCCCTCCACCCTATCATCTCATGCTGCTTCCTGCCTGCAGGCAACCACTTTTCCAGCCGAAGCAGGTAACAAAGCGCCAAGGTGCAGCAAGGAGTTTTTGAGTGATGGATCTCCATCCGCTGGCTTTCCAGAGTGGCCAGCTTCTCCCTGTAGTGTGGGGCTCTGGCCAAGAGCAGGGACCCTTGGTGGTGAGGCCCACACAGCTGCAGAACCAGCAGTGGCCCCTGGCTTGAAGCACTAAAGAGATGAGACCAGGCAGGGGCAAAGGGGTTATGGCACTGTGCAGGCTGCATTCCTGCCCCAGTGCTTCCATTTGCAGTCGTTTGGCACTGGGATGTCTCTGCCGGGGTAACTGCACTGGCTGGGGTAGAGCTGTCCTAAGAGGCCCTTCACAAGGCTGAAGGTGGTGGGTAGAGATCTGAAGGCATCTTGAGGTCCCATGGCTGGGGGTCTTCTCTCTGCTGCGGTCCCTGCTGGGAACAAGGGGTTGAAACTGGGTGGGGTGGCTTGCTTGAAGCTTAAATGGAGCATTTACTTGTTGACCTGCTCCCCAGTCCCACGCCTTTTGTAGGCAGGTCACATCCGCGTGCTCCCTGGCTGCAGGGATACATTGGGGTTGCCTTCTCCCACCAGGCCAAGGCCATTCTGTTCCAGGCTTTCGCCCGTCCCAGCTCGGAGCGGGGAGACACTCAGTGCTTGAACATTTCCTCCGTGGAGTCCGGCCCAGTGGCTGGAACCTCAGCCGACAAAGCAGAGCCTCAGCAGTAGCCTGGGACAAAGGGGGCCCAGTCCTCCGGAGCACGCTGCGGGCTGACGGCTGAGCAGAAAGGGCTGATTCATGAGCAGCAGCTCGGGCCACATCACTTTGGGGGGTGCCACGGCCCAGAGCCCTGCTCTGCTCCCTGCTTGTTTGCGACGCAGCTGCTTTTCGGTGCAGGCTGCCAGCAGCATCCGGGACTCCCTGTGCTGTGCCAGGCTGGTGCCAGGGGCTGTGGGCACACGGCACTGAAGAGGCTGGTCTGTGCGGAGCACCGGGGGCAGGCAAGGGCAGAACAACGTGTGCTATTGAAACATCCCCCACCATGCCTCGGAGAGGCATCTCCAAATTGTACCCAGGGCTCTGATTGTTGCACGGGGGTGTTGCTTAGTCTCAGCTGTGGCTGCAGCATTTACGCAGCCCAGAGGTTTGGGTGGGCGCAGCCTGAGTCCCCAGGTGATGACAAGCTTTCAGAAGGACTGGCTGGCAGCTGTCCATACTGTCTACACAGTGATGGACTGGTCGGCTGCAGGCAGCCAGGGGTTTGTTCCCACTTCTCCCCACAACTTGGGGCTGGTCTGTTCGGGAAGTTCCCATTTCCCATCCAGGGCAGGAATGGTGTCCCTGCCTCTGTTGTCCAAGGTGCTTTGGGGAGGGGTTGAATGAATAGCTCTGTGGTACTAGACTCCCTGCTTGGGGATACTGGTAGCCAAGGGCTGCAGACGCTGGATCCGAGAGGCTGGTTGGTTGGATGCCTTGCTCTTCCTCTAAGGGTGCGGTGTGGTCTGTGGTCGGTGACAGTGTGTTGCTCTGGTTTGTCAGGGAACAGCCAAGGCACACGTGCAGCGTGCCGTCCCTGCAGGGGAGGCTCATGGGGCAGATAGATGTGTGCCAGAGATGCCTGTGGAGATCAGCTTGATGCCATGGGCACACTGGAGGGCTGGGATTTGCCCTGCTGCCCTGGGTGGTGCTCACAGCGCAGAGGGGAGGGAGCAGGGTTTACCTGGGATGGGATAACGCAGCTGCTACCAGAACAGAGCAGCTTTCCTCTACTGTTGCTCGCTCCTGTGATCAGACTGCTGTCCCCCGAGGTGCCCTCTAGCCTGGGAACTTCACGACCGGAGCAGCGGGGCTGGGCTGGGCTCATGTTTCCCTGTGCTATACAGAACAGTATCATGGCCCCATCTCTTTGTGGGGCCTTAGGTCTGACGAGCTCCCTGGACTTTGCAGACATTAGCGGGCTTGATCTGCATTTCTCCAGGGACAGTGGGCAGGCAGTACATTTGCCCATGGTTACCCAGGGAGCGTGGAGGGGCCCGGGTAGAAGTGGAGCAGCTGGGATCTTGCTGGCTTCCAAGGTTTAATGTGCCAGTGCTAATCCTTCCTTCCTGGCTATGAGGCTGTCTGCCTACCAAGCCTCTGCAGCTCATCCCTGCAGGTGGGTGGGCAGGGCTCCTTTGGAGCACTAATTGCTCCTCCCTAATTAGGTGATGGGAGGCAAGGAAGTCTCCAGGGCTAAGAGGGGCTCAGTGCCTGAGTCTGTGCTCACGCCCTGGGCGGAGAGAGTCTTTGGCGCTAATATGTTGCCTTTCAGGGCTCGTCAGCCCTGTTTCATATGTGGGATCTGCTAGGAGTAGAGACTAGAGCTGGGCTTTGGGCTCCTGCTCTTGACAGCTGTGTTCGCGCAGGATTGGAAGGAGGATGCGCCCAGCTCTGCTGGCATTTCTGGCGTGTGTACCTTGTCCCCTCCAGCACCACCCTTGTGCTGGGGCCGGACCGCTCAGCCCTCCTTGCCACCATGCTGCCCTCGACTCCGCGTGCTGAGATTCGCATCTGCGCCAACCATGCAGAGACTTTGGTTCTCACCTGAGGGCCTTGACTCCTGTTGTGACCCCTGGTTAGATAGGGGAGGTGGAGAGAGGTTTCTGCAGCTCTCTGTCGTGTGCCTGGCTGCATCCCCAAGAAGGGGGAACAGAGAGAAGCCTAGCTTTTACTGCCTTGGTGAGCCTGCCTCCAGTTCCCATGCAGAGGGCTCTGTGGAGCTTGTCACATAGAGCTTGGCAGGAGCCACAGTCCTTGTCCCTGAACAAGCCTTTATGCTGTGGGTCCAAGGGTGTGTGTGCGTGGCGGGCTCGGCGATCATGGGGGCTTGGACCTGGAATCCCCTCCATGCCCTGCCTGTGTTCTCCAGGTGTACAAAGGGATGGACATCATCACCAACAAGGTCTCTGCTCAGGAGCAGGCGCTCTGCCGGCACCACATGATCAGCTTCTTGGATCCCCTCGTCTCCAACTACACCGTGGTGGACTTCAGGAACAAGGCCGAGCTACTGATATCCTTCCCTGGGCTTCCCTCCTCCCACTGCTCCCCAGCCTACTCCCTGCCGGCAGAGCCAGGGAAGGAGCCCCTAATTGCCCGGATGGGCTCATTCCAGGCAACCAAGAGCAAATGGCGCTCTCTGGAAGCTAAACCTAGTGTGAGCAAAGGGGGCAAGCACTTGGGCTGCTGTGAGCTCTGCTCTTAGGGTTGGCTGGAGAAGGGCCCGTTCATGTGGGTGTCACAGGGTCAGGCTCATGATCAACACCAGGAGCCGTGGCATGCACTGAGAGTGTGATAAGAGCATGGGCATGTGATAGTAGCGGTGCCACCAGCCCAATCAAGGGCACTTGTTTCAGGCCTGCCGGGCGCAGCCCTGTGCCACTAGCAGCCTCAGTGTTGGTGGCCAGAGGGGAACAGTGGTGGCTGGGATGCGGTGAGGGTGTTTCCCGGGTGGACTCAGGCCTGGGGAGGTCTCTGGCTTCATGAAGCCTGCGTAGAATGGGAGTAAGTGCCACCCACCCCCTGTGCACAGTCACCTCTGAGCCCCCAGCCCGGCATTGCTGCGCCACAAGGGCATGGGTACGTGATGTGATGCCATCATTGTACTCATGAGCCGGCTGTCATAGCCAGTGTGTAGCTGGGCCCTTGCTTCCCTCTGGCTCTCCTCCACCATTGATTGGCAGTTGTCACTGCTTTAGTTTATAGCTCCCCCCTCTTTCTCTGGTTCTGTCTGCCGCTCCTTAACGCTGTACATCAAGGACATATTTTCCCGGAACAAGTTCCCGATTGTGGTGGGAGGCACCAACTACTACATTGAGGCTTTGCTTTGGAAGGTCCTGGTGGACACCAAGGTAGGATCTTGGAGCTGCTGGGAACCAACCGTGGGTGTAGGGGGATCCCGTCTCCATGCTGGGTCTTGGTTCCCCTGCCTCCATTTAAGAGTCTGTCCTTTGGGTGGTGGGGGCTGCTCCGTTGCAGAAGGCTCACCTGCTTATCCCTATGAATGATGTGGAGCTGAGGCCCTCTGTTACCTGAGGGGCCTGGAGTTCTTCCCCATGCTCATAGGCAGTGGTGCTGCATAGAGCCAACTCTGCCCTCCCTAGACATCACGGGCATTTATCCCCACCGGCCACCCCGTAGAGGAACCTGCTGGCCCCACGTGTCCCAGGTTCGGGTTGTGGCTTGGGGAGTCTCTCTTGCTCTGACCCATGCCCAGAGGAGCAGATGCTCCAGCTCACAAGGGCTGATTTCCCATCTACAGGAGAAGATCAGCCCTGCCCCCAGGCTGGCTGTCGACAGGAAGGAAGAACTGGAGAAGCTGGATGGCCAGGAGCTCTACCGCCGCTTGAGCCAGGTGGACCCAGAGATGGCAGCTAAGCTACACCCCCACGACAAACGCAAAGTGTCCAGGTGAGCCTGTGGCACCTGGGGAGAACTGATCCCCAGGGGCATCTAGGGTGATCGGAGCCGTGCTAAGGAGCATCCTTCTCTGCAGGTCTCCCATGGCTTCTCAAGCCCCATTGGAGGGCAGTGTTCACCCTCCATCCTGTCCCTGCTCCAGCCTGCTTTCGAGAGAGGTTGTTCACTGTATGGGGTATTGCCAGTACTTGTGTCAAGTGGTGTTATGGCCACATGGCTCATGGTCCGTTGGGTGGGACTTGCGCTGGAGGCTGGCTGGAAGAGGGAGCAGGGAGGTTGTAAAGGGAGGTTGCAGGCACAGAGGGCTCTGGGTTCTGATCTGTGCCAGGAAGGCGGCAGGTGATGCCTGTTTATGCAGAAACCAGGCATGAGGGTCCAACAGGGCTCAGGCTGTCTGCATTGCAGCTGGGTGGGATGGCAACAGGAGTGGGGAGAAGCCTCCAGCACAGAGGCATTTCCACTGCCATCATGGCCTTGCTGGCTGAGCCCAGCTGACACCTGCCCTCCAGATTAGGACCTGCAGTTGATTGGCTCCACAATGGCAGGCAGCCAGGGGGACTTCCCTGCTTCAGCCCCAGCAAGGGCAGGGCACAGAGGCTCTGCTCTACTGGAGTGGAGTGCAGTGCGGCCGTGTTGGCAGCTGCATTCATACCTTGGGGGACCAACCCATGGCACAAGGGGCATGGGCAGCCTCTGTATCTGGTACATAACAGACTGGGGAGAGGACAGGCGGCACGGCAGTAGATGAGGCAGAAAGCAGAGCAGCAGATCAGGCAGAGAGCAGAAAGCAGAGCAGATGAGGAGCACAGAGGACGGAGCAGCAAGCAGAGCAGTGGATCAGGGATAGGAGCAGCACTCAAGAGGCTAATTGGTGGCACGCCTGCCAGGCAGGCTGGCTCTTGCTGGCCCAGAGAGTGCAGAGCCTAGAGTTGCTCTGATGGGAGAGGGGGTGACAGTGAAGGCACCTTGTGGTGTCCCATAAAGCCAGGGCACCTGGAGGGTTCCCTGGAGCTGTTTGTGGCCCCTGAGATTTATAACTGCACCAAGCAGGCTTCTAGGAAGCAGCCAGACCTGTCAGCACTGAGCCTGGCAGCCCAGAGCTGCAGGGAGCTGATCTCCAGCTCTTCTCTTCCCTTCTGCCTGGGGAAGGCATGGGGGATGCTGCCTGTGAGGAGAGCTGGGATCTGTTCCCTGGGGCTCTGACCAGGAGCCAGTGTTGCAAATGGTCCCAGGAAGACTAGCCAGCCAGGGCAGGCCCAGTGGTCATGTACCCCATACCCCAAGCAGCACCTGCCCCAGGCAGTGACACCAGCCAGTGCTGCAGAGCCTGGGTGGCAGCCAGGCAGGCAAGGCTGGCCTCAGCCTTCCTTCCTGGGGCCTGTCAACAGAGGAAGCTGCCGTGCTGGCTGAGCCGCATACTTCACGCGGTGGGAACGGCACCTGGGCCAGACTGGGCTTGCCACCTCTGCCGGGCTTTCCCAACCCCGCCCCGAGGTGCTAGGGAGCAACACCCACCCCATTCACACGGCAGGGAGGTGCAGTCAGGACTCGACCCATTTGCCTGGCATGGAGCCACCTCCCCGCCCCTGTCTTCACCAGCCTGTGGCCTGCAGCAAATGCCTCCTGGAAGAAGCAGGATGGGAGCCAGCACTTTGGCCCAGCCCCCGCTGGGCCCGTCTTGGCTTCGGGGAGTGGGGGCTCTGGGCAGCTGGGTACCATTGAGGAGCGCTGGCCCTGCCACAGCCCCTGGTGCTTGGTTGGCTGGCCGGGGCTTGCTGGGGGCAACAGGCCCCTTGATGGGGGCAAAAGACTGCACATGGGAGAGGGTTGGGTGTGTTTTGCATGCAGTTCCCAATCCCGAGGCTGCTGGGGTGATGCTAATCTCCTGACCCAGCCTCTCTGTTGGCCATCGGTCTGTGCCATACAGGAGTCTGCAAGTGTTTGAAGAAACCGGCGTCCCCCACAGCACATTCTTGAAGCAGCAGCAGCAGGAGGAAGGTGGGGGTCCACTGGGGGGCCCGCTGAAGTACCCCAACTCCTGCATCTTGTGGCTCTTTGCAGACCAGGCAGGTAAACAGCAGATAAGGGGCAGGCCGGCATTGCCGGGGCGTCACCCCCTGCAGCCAAAACCCTGACCCAGACCCGCTGTGGTCTCCCCCCTGAGCCTGCATCGTGACAGTGCCTGGGGTCCCTCTGAGCCCTGCGTGTGATGGGCTACTGGTAGCTGGAGACTTTTCCTCCCTTGCTCAGAGGAGCTGTGAGCTGCCCATGTGGAAATGGCCACACAGGGACTTTGTGCCTCAACCAGCAATATAGCTGGGGTTGTCTCATTGCAGTAATAGGAGTTTGCCCCTGGCTTCTCTGAGAGCAGGATCGGGCCCATGGAAAGGTCCTCTCAGGCCTAGTGGCTGCATAGCCCGTTATGGTTCCCAGGCTTTCACTGTCTCCCTGTCAGGATAAGCATCCCTGTTTTCCAGGCAGGGAGAAGCACTGCGACTCCTTGGAGGCGTTGCTGCGCTTCATCGGCAGCACCAAGATGGACCTTGTGGGTGGAGGGGGTATCTGGGTCCATGACGTCTATCCATTGGATGCTCCCATCCCATCCCTTGGTCAGAAAGATGATAGAGGTGGGGCTGGATGGAACCTCCAGAGGTCACATCTAGTCCAACCCGCTGCCTAAGGCAGGATCAGCCCTGTCCAAACCATCCTGTGCAATGTAGAACCATGGCCAGCTGTTCTCCGAGGGGCTGTGGGCCCCCTCGTCCCCTTTCAGGGAAGAAGGGCTCAGCGTGGGGTTGAAAAAAGAAGGAGCAGCAGGTTTGGGAGTCCAGAGGAGTCTTCATTGGAGTGCAGAGATGTCAGGGCTTCCCCTGCGCGTGGGGTCCCCAGTCCCTGTGGAACGTCACATGCTCTAGCATGCATGTGAAGCGACTGCTGGGTGCTCTCTGACCCTTGCCAGTTCTGGACAAACGTCTGGACCAGCGGGTGGACGCCATGCTTGCGGCGGGGCTCCTGGAGGAGCTGCGAGACTTCCACAGGCGCTACAACCAGCAGAAGGTGGCTGAGAACTGGTGAGTGCACCCCAAGCCGTGGCTTCCAAATTGGGTGGTAAAATTGACCCAGATCCTGTCCTCGGGTTGTGGGGAGGCTGGTGAGGCCACCTCCGCTTCCGTTCCCCGATCAGCGATGGCTGTGTCTCCCCAAATCCAGTGCTCCTCCCACAGAGAGACAGAGCCCTGGCCTCTGCCACTCGCTGTAGGGGAGAGGCGCTGACCTCCTGCCTGTGGCCTTCTGCTCCAGCCAGGATTATCAGCGCGGCATTTTCCAGTCTATTGGCTTCAAGGAGTTCCACGAGTACCTGGTGACCGAGGGGAAGTGCTCGCCCGAGGCCAGCTCCGTCCTGCTGGAGAAGGGTGAGGACTGCACAACCCATTGTGCCCCGTTCTACACCTGCACGGTGCTGGGAGCCACGGTGTGTGTGCTGTAGCCACCAAGTGATGCCAGCTGCCCACACCGGTCAGCAGCCCAGCCTGGTGTCTCCTGGCAGGGTGTTAGTCTACCCTGAGCTCTGGGAGGGGGTGCCTTCAGCCCGTGGCTCCGAGAAGTTGCTGACTGCTGGGGGATGGGCTTGGCGACTTCTTGAGGCTCCTTGTAGCCCTGTGGTCTCTGTGACTGTCCCTAGAGCCTTCAGGACTTTGCCCAGATGAGTTTTAACTGCCCCGGTGATTGGTGTTTCTCTCACTCCTCTTGTGGTAAGACCTCTGTGAGCCTCAACAGCACTGGTGATGACTCCTGCAGTGGCTGAAGCTAGGCAGTCTGCTGGTTGTGGCAGCCCTTCGCTCTCCCAGTGTCACTGCACCCATGTCATCTCCTACCCACAGCTTTGTTTACCTGGGGATTTTTAACTGCCGGGAGTTTGGCTGTCACACCTTTTTTTTTTTTTTAATTCCTTTCATTTTAAAGGGATTCAGGCCCTGAAACAAGTGACAAAGAAATACGCCCGAAGGCAGAACAAGTGGGTCCGGAACCGCTTCTTGCAACGTAAGCCCTTGGCTTTCACCCCTTCCTTGCTCCCCTCCTCTCCATCCCCTGTGGAGCATCCTGTGCCCTGATGGCTGGGGTAGGCAGGTGGCTTCCAGCTCTGCTTTGGCAGCCCCTGGCTGGGCAGGTGCCTTGTAGGCAGTGGGGAAGCCCTGAACTCCCCTGAGGTGGGTGGTGGGTGTGAAAGGCGCTGTCTCTGGGCTGGGCCTGTTGGTGCCCCCCCTCCCCAGGCTCCCTTCTGTTGTAAGACTGTGGCAGCTCTCTGGAAGGCAATGGCTTGTGCCAAGGGGCAGGTGAGGTGGCATGAGGTCCCCTGGGCTGGCACAAGGGAGAGTCCGGGGGGGTTCCATTTCCCCAGGAATTCCTTCCTTGTGAGTCTCTCACCTGGCCTTCTGCAGCCAGGCTTGAGGGACACCCCCTGGTATGTCCCACCCCACCCACCAGCCCCTTCTCTGAAGGGCCTCTGGATATGTCCATGCAGCTGAGGATCTGCAGCTTGGGGCTTATCAGTGTGGGCTGCCCGTGGAGCTCTCCGTCTGTCTGGGACCTTGTTTCCCTGCCATCCCAGCCTGGTCTGCATTCACACCCCTCCCAGCTGCAGCTGACGTGCATGGGCATCCTGCCCAGGCCTTCAGAAAGCCCAGACACTTCACACTCTCTCCGTAGCCCCCCCTCCCTTTCCCCTTTCAAGGGAAGTACCACCCCCCAGCAAAACTCCCGCAGGGAAGAGCAATTAAACCCTTCAGCACTCCCCCACCCCCAACCCACCCCTCTTTGCACTCGGTGCTTCTGGCAGTCCGAGCCGTGTCTGCGTGCAGCCCCGAGCGCTGCCAGCCAGGCCGTTCTCCCCTGAAAAGGGGTGGCAGGGGCTCTGCCTAGCATGTTTAGCTCTCCCCCTGCGCCTGCACGCGCCCGGCCGAGCCCAGCTGACAGCTGC